AAACACACACAGCTCCCGATTGGCATTCAGGCTTTTGCCACACTCCAAATACCCTCCTGCCACAGCTTTGTCTGACTTAATCCAATTTATTTACGGTTTCTTTACTTTTAGCCCAGCCTCGAAGGGCAAGTTTGCCCCCAGTTTTGTCACCGATTCTTAAGCCCCGCTTCAGCCATCTTTCTTTCTCTATCCTCACAACTTTATTCTCTTTCCATCTCTCTCCTTCTTCTGCCCTCTTGCTCTTTCATAGACGTCACTTGCTCTCTCCTTCTCTCTCTCCTTCCATCTATCCATCCATCCATCTATTCATCTAACTATCTATCTACTCATCTGTTCATTTATCCATATGTTTATCTATCTATCTATCTATCCATATTTCTGTCTGTCTAACCAGCTTTCTCTATCATTTTCGTGCTTTTGTCCTTACCTGTTTCCCGGAGTTCACGAGTTTCTACAATCCAAGCAAATGCAGAAATGCTCTTCTCCTGGCTACCTATTTAATTATTGATCATGCAATATTCACGTTGCTGTATTATGTCTCAATTATATTTTGTTAAATGCTGTACTACTCCATGCTCTCTTGCCCGCACGACTCAGAACAAAGCCTGCCCCTCAGGCTCGCTCAGCATTTCTCTCACCCTCTCCCTCTATCGGGCTAGCCCGTGCGTTTTATCGCATGCTCTCCGTGACCTCGAAGTCTCACTTGTGCTCTTGTCATCTCCTCCTCCAAACCAGTTCTTCCGTCTTCCATCGCTCTGGCAACCCCACTTTCTCTGTCCCTCTCTCTCTCTCTCTCTTTTACTCTTTCTAACTTTCTCTGTGTCGGCAGGCCTGCATGGCTAGTTCATACAAGAATCATCCATCTCCGAGACGGATCTCCAACCGCGATCATGCCTCGTACAGTTACCTTTCCTTTCAGTAGACTCGAAAAGCGGTTTGTCACCTTTTAAAGGCTTTTAAACCGGATTCAGCGTCGAACATCCATTATTAGTACCGTTGATGAGATGGAGTGAGAGAATGCTTTATTTTGGCTTCAAGACTGATTTAGTCATGCCTCCCAAGAGGCCGCTCGGTTACACAAAATGCAACTGCTACTGATAGCAAAATAAGTAGTGTATTGGTTTAAATGGCAAATCCCACAAAATGGTGCGGCGTTTCGAGAGCGGCCTGTTTGACTCTGAAACTCCTGCATTTTGTGCAGCATACTCGAGGTTGGATCATGTTTGTCTGTTAACCGACACGTCCACGGTTCGAAACCCCGCATGGGTGGATGTCGAATCTGCTGTCCGGGCTGTGAGGAGAGGAGAGGATGCTTTTGAGAAGTGGGATTTACTGTATTAATCATAACTTTTATTCAGTTCATTGTGGCCAGATGCACTCACAATCTGGTACACCTTTACAGTGACCGGGCTCTTGGTAGATGCCTGTCAAGACTGTTACAA